CTTGCCCCAGGCATTCAACAGCAGCAGGCCATTCACTTTGATTTGATCCCGTTATGAAATGTCATCATTTCGACAATAAAGAAATTCTACATAAACGTTATCTTGCACATTTTATCTAACCATCTCCATTTCTAACTTTCAATATATTTTAAAAGAGATCTCTCTCTCTCATCTGCGTGCGGGGGCGGGGCCTCACAGACACGCTGCATCTCTCTCTCGCTCACAGACATGCTGCAGCGCCGTGCAGTGTGCACACAGCTCTGCCGGTAATGAATATTACATTTTGTGAGGACATTTTTCCACCAATAATTCCAATAAGTATTCCAAAATGTATTCACTTCAGGTTTACGAAAGTAACTGTAATCAGATTACTCGTTTTTCAAATGTAACGCCAGCTGAATACAGTTAGCCTACTTGATTTTTGTATTCTGATTACGTAACGCCGTTACATGTATTCAGTTACAACCCAACCCTGCTTCTAGGCTACTGTCCCGCAGCTCCTGCCTCTCTGTTGGACTCTGTCGCAGCGGACCTACTGCGGTGGTGCGGAGCGCACAAACCAGACTCTTCACAACGAAGGATCACTTCTTCTTCAAGGCAGGGAAGGTTTCGCAGTACGCAGTCTACTGTCCCGCAGCTGCTGCCTCTCTGTTGGACTCCGGTACTGCACACAGTGGTTACTGCGAACGCAGTAACCACGCCGCAGTCACCCCCGTCGTGCGGGCCGGATGAGAATGTCTGGCGGGCCGCCAGTTGGTGGTTGTCACTGTCACTGGTCTATGGTGATGACACGTTAAACTCGAGGGCCGTACCAAATTGTCTCGCGGGCCGTATACGGCCCGGAGGCCGGAGGTTCCCCACCCCTGCTTTAATGTATTATCCATGATGTTTCAAGTAGTGGATTAATTTCAGTTTTGGCCCAAAACAAATATTTATAATATTTCATATAACAATTATGTAGCATATTTGATCCTCAAATTAGAGAAGTATAATTTAAAGAAATTGATATTCTCAACATTAGATAAACACAGAAGAATCCTTTCCAAGTACCATAAGTAGATGCTCAGGTAAGTATGGCTAATAGGAATAATTGATAGACTTAATTTGGTACAGATCAGTGGTAGCATTTACAAATGTAATAATTCAAGTTTTAAGAATGTTTAATCCTTCCTTTCCAGGTTTTTACAAAAGTCTTTGAATATTTGCCTAACTTTTCCTTTTCAGATTTTGAACAATGTACTTGACTAAAATGAATGTATTGATTTCACTAAGTGCCTTACTCTTGACTAAAGCGTATTTAAGTAAACGTAAAAGTAATCCTAAAATTGAGGACACTGCACTTTTGCAGATTACAGATTGATCAAATCACCATTGTGAATTCTATACTCTAACTGTGAATTTTTAGCTGGATCTCTTACGATCCTGAGTTTTAACATGCTTTTGACTAGTGATTGCCTTGAAGTAAATCTTTAAAGCGGCAAGCTGGTTTTGATTTTATAGTTTGATGAATGAAATTAACTAATGGTAAATGATAAAAGATATTAGTTTAAAACAAATATTTAGCCATTGTGCACCTGTGTTTTATGTGTGTTCATTATTATGCTTTTGACGAAAGATGATCAAACACTGATGAGATGATTTTTCCTATTATGATTGGCTGTATCAATCATTGTGATTGAATGTTTCAATCTTATTCTACTTTGTGATGTAATTAATGTAAGGTGAGACCACACTCGAATCTGGAGTTAATTGAGTTAAGTTTATTGAGTTAATTATTGACCAAATTAGTATTAGACTAATGTGTTTAGGTTATCATAAATGATAAAAAGAGAGGACTGTTATGGAAATAATTATCATAGACGCCAAGATGTGACATACAGGACAAACCTTGATGTCTGTTTACCTCCTTTAAGGACACAGGCTGCTTCAGCCAATAATGTTATTGTTCCCATTCTGTGACCGGTCAATACTGGGTCACAGATGGTCTGTATTGTGGGTACACTGGGACACTTCCTTCTCTGTTGTCAGAGGACTCCAGGGCATGACATATGCAAGGCCATAAGTGGCGGAAGCTGGTAACTTAGTGTGCCCAAACTATCTAAAGCTATCTTATCAAAACATGTTGATGACTCTCTGTGGAACCAGTTAAATGGGCTGGCAAGAGAGAGTCTCTCCAGAATTGACGTGGCAACTCTACCGTGAAGTCAGAACCTCTGGCTCTTGGACTTGTGATGTGAATCCTCCGGCCGTTAACTCCAAATAAACCATCAGTGTTTGACATCAAAGCTACTGCTCCTACCGTGTCTCCTTCCTGAGTCGGTGACTCCCACTGCATAGCTACACAGAAGTTTCCTCTACAAATAGATTAAAAATCGTGTTGGTGAACACGAAATGCCGTGAGACTGGGTTGTCATATTGCATCAAGCTTTATGTATGAAGTGTCTGAGTGCAACAATGTGTATGCCATACATCCAGACTCATTGACATGCAAATGTGTCATGATTAAGTTAAGGGAGAAGATTATCCCTCTACCAAACAACATTGAACAAGACTGATTTGACTGGACATCAAGGAAGCCTCAAGAACTCATTCAGACTATAAGCTTGATGTAATTCACCGGATAACGAATGAGATTAAATAATGAGCCTATAATGGGAAAATAAGAGTACTAATTTCTAATTCTCTGCACAATGAATTCTGTCATTTTGATGTTCTGCTGTTTTAGTCTGTGTTCTTCTAATTAGTGTCTACAGTGTGTGCCTATTGAGCTGTTTAGAGCCATGTGGGACAAAACCTGATCATGCCCCTCCCTCTCACTGTCTAAGTCAATGGTGACTGTAAAAACTACATTGCGAATGCTCAGAATGTTTTCCTATTTAATGTGTGTGGCAAAAAAATAATGACCATAGGGGCATTGAGCTGCCATCCCCACCATACGTCATCTCACATCATTCAGAGCTGATTGGCTGTAAGTACGTGTGCCGCGAAAAGTGTGGTGTGTGAAAAGGAGACGAGAGAGCTGCAGTGACGCGTCCTAAAACCCGGAAGTAAGCTGCGCATGGCTTCCCTCGACAAAAAAGCAATGAGATTTCTCCATAGGATTTTAGAAAATAGCTCCAAATAAGGTCTGTGGGAAACAAACCTGTTAGATAAATGTACGTTTTGTTCAGCCGGATAATATCCACATGTCTACCCTACTTTTATAATTTTCGAATCATAAATCTATTGATTAGATTAAATTTATGATAGACTTTTGAAACTACAAGAACATAAGGAGGACTTTTACAAAAAAGTAATAGAGATTTTTGTCCAGAAGGATAGGCAAATGGACTTCATCTTCATGTCAAGGTAAGACTGCAATTTTATTGAAAATGGGATTTTACTAAGAGAGAACAATTCAATATTTAAATGATAAAATTACATTTTTTGGGTATCCTTTTGTTGAACTGTCTGTTTAAAATTAATTGAAGCATCAGACAAAAAAAGCTTTTGAAAATAATATAATATTTTGATTTAGGTCAAAATATAATATTTGTAAACCTGAAGAGTCAGTGCCAGTGCCTCACCAGCCATGAACCTCACTGCAGAAGCTTATAGACATCTAAGTTGTTTGTGCCCCACCACTTTTGTACATATAAAAACGCCACTGTACATTACCAATGTGTTTTAGGAACCTGTTCTGACCCTGACAAACATCAAGTGCCTTCTGTCAAGTAAGTCTTTGTGCATTAATACATGATGGTAATAGTCCAGACGACCAGACCTATACACTTCCCAGAGGTGTAAACAAAGTACACTATTCACAAGTATAATAAAATAAACACTAACAAACAAAGTACACTGAAGTACAGTTTAAAATGAACTAACATTAAAGTGCACTGTTTGTAAGTATACTTATGTACACTTCTAATGAAGTGAAATTAAAGTCTACTTAAATAAAGTATACTAATAGTGTATTACAAAGGACTTGCAAATATTTAACTTTTTAAAAGTAGACTAATGTACCACTTTAGGTATTTGCAAGTTAATGTACTTTTTAAAAGTACAATGAAGTACAAATGAAGAAAAACGTATATTAAAGTGCACTTTTTATAAGAGTACTTAAATACACTTCTAATGAAGTGAAATTAATGTACACGTTAATAAAGCATGCTTAGGGTATTACAAAATAATTGTACTTTCGATCAGTATACTTAATGACCACTAAGTATTGGCTAATTTAGTACGTAGTAGCGAAAGTGTACTTACTTGCAATTCACGATACACTTAGATTCAAGTACACTTTTAATAAGCACACTGAAATACCACTTTAAGTATTTCAGAAATAGTACATTTATTTTTAGTACATTGAAATTGAACTAAATGACATCTATTTTGAATTACGCTTTTTAAAAGTACATTTTAAACATACTTTCAATTAAGCACAACAAGTAAAAGTATACTTGTATACACTTTTGTATACTTAAATTATATTTCTAATAAACTAAAGTATACTACTTTTTGACCTGGGGTTCCTAAGTACAATTTTGAGAGACTTGATTATTAACGTGTTTTGCTTATTTGTACTTCTACTCCACCACAATTCAGAGGTTTTACTCCACTACATTTATTTTAATACCTTTAGTTACTTTGCAGATTTTGATTAATAATGTGAAATATAATCAACACTACACCTGGAGTAACATTCACAAGCTATCCTGCAGTATACAAAGTAATTAAAACTAGATGCACCTTTACCAGCTTTAATAAACATGTTAATGCATCAATAATTATAATCAAAACATATTTATATTATTCTGAAATGGGCCTATATCTGCATAATAAGTACTTATACTTTTGGTACTTTAAGTATATATTGAAGCTAATACTCTTGTACTTTTTTAAAGTAAAATTTGCAATGCATGATTCTTACTTGTAGCAGAGTATTCATACACTCTGGTACTTATAGTTTTACTTAAATACAGGATCTGAGTACTTCTCCCACCTCTGAATACATTCATCACATTAACTGCTGCGTTGCTCCATCATGCCCTGCCATGACGCAGAGAACCCGGAAGACGTGTGTTTGCTGTCAATGCCAGCGACAGAGGACTGAGAGCTGAAAACCCGCATTTAAGACAAGATGGCAGGACTGCCCCGCAGGATCCTTAAGGTAACTATTACACACTTTAAACAGCAGCAAAGGTCCATTTTCTGTCAGGGTGGAAACTCTACATACACTGTCTGAACTCCCGGTGCTGGTTCACAGTTTTGTTTGCTAACGTTAGCACCTAGCACGCTAAAGCAACTTCCGTTTCATTCCTGTGCCCAGATAGCGAAACACTTTGGGGTTAAAAATACACCAACCTTTTGTGTAAACGGCGCATGGATGTGGTCTGTGTCGGGACCATATCTTCCAAATGTAGTTCTCAGGCACAACAGTGTTCTCTAATAGCCCTTGCTCAGATCGTGGTGCTGACTGAATAACTGGCTAACAATGCTAACAGTGCTAGCAACGTAGCTTTGTTTGTGAGTGAATGATAATAAAACGACAGGAACAAGCTAAAGCGACCCTGGTAGCCTGATGATCTCTGTGTCATATTTTTCATACATGAATTTAGCTCGGCAGGGATAATCGCCTTTTATAATCTTTTTTTTGTTTGTTTTTTTGCATAGTTTAGCCTTTTCATTAAGTGAAGTTCCTAAGTATGTACCATGTTTTATACATAAATGCGGTTTCCCATCCTTAGTGAGTATTCACATAACAAAGTATTATAGATGAAACGTTTGATACTTGAAGAGAAATCACTTCCACTGCAGGCTTAGGCCCCTGACTCCATGTGGCAGCATCCAAAACGAGCTGCTCAGCATAGGTTTCTAAAGATACAACTCAATTACTAGCCTAATAAAAAAAAAAGCAATCGCATCATAACTCAAATTTCTCAGAAAATATGATGTGAAATAATTTGAAGGAATATCTTTTCAAGATAGTGAATGGTGATGTTTTTATTTACTTTACATTACCAATGAGTTAATTGCAATTAACACACTGGACTCAAATGTTGAACCTTCAGGATACAAGCTTCTCTAAAATGTATGCTCCTTTACCCTAATAATACACATTTAAAAAAAAATGTGTAAGTAAAAAAGTCGATTCAAATAAATGTAGTCATTCACCCATTTTATCATCTTTATTGTTCTACTCCTGCGTGCCAACACCTAATGATTCCTCTCTAACTATTGGGGTAATGTTATAACGTCTATGTTATGCATCATGTATACATACATTGTCAGTAAACATAGCTACACCTTCTTCTTTTTTTTATATTTAAAATCCTTTTACTTTCCCTTGAAATGTTTGTGTTCTTTTTGCACTAGTTATTTAATTTATTTAAATAATTAGTTGTTAAATACTTAACAAATGCTCAATACTTAACACTAGTCAAGTATATACTTTAGGTATAAGTATACAAAAAATATATTTTACCACACTGAGGATTTATTCATTTTATTACCAGAAAACATGCAATATGGTCAAATATGCTATGCTATATGCTATATCGCCCAGCCGTAACAGGGACATGAATGATGTTTGAGATCAGGCTGCACAGGTGGGTGAGTCAGAAGGTCACAGACTGGTGTTGGTGGGAAAAGGTGGACGTTTTGGGAACAGTACTTAGCGGATGGAGCCCTTGAGCCCTCGGAGCGTGTGACTGGGACTGGGAGCCCCTCTCGTCTGTGTTTTCACTGCATGGTTTTGTCTGTGGGTTATCTGAAACATTTCAGGAATCTCACTCCCAGTTGCATTCGGGAAAGGAACGGCAAAAACAAGAGTGCCGGCTGTTGGCATGCTTTACTTCATGCTGTTTTCTCATGCATGGATGTTATTTATTTATTGTTCTGTTGATTTCAGGCATGAACAGAACAGGGGGATTATAGGTTTTAAGATTGTGAATGTACATTTAGAAAACAGTTTGGAGAATGGAGACCATAAAACAGTAGCTCAAATCAAGCAATCTAAATAGTTCATAGCCTATATATAGTAGCTGCACACCACTGCCATGATGTCCTATTCCTTTGCACTTTTAATACGTTGCTGTTGTCGAATGCATCCATCAGGCGTGTCACTCATGCTGCCTCATGCCTACCACAACAGATATCAGATACCTGCTCCTCTTTCACTCTAGAGGTGTGTTCTTCTGTTAGTCACATGGCTGACACTGAGGATCTTTGCTACAGTGGTTGTTGGAAATTAAAGTAATGGCCGACTGTGGAGCGGTGGCTGAGACAGTGTCACCTCTAGAAGACAGTTACAGAGTGCACAGAGATTCAGCATTTTGCCTCTACTGCAGGCAACGTCACCCTCCCCCCTGTGTTACAGGATAAAAGCCAAGCAGGCAAGAGTAAACCTTCCACCTGCCATCTATTGTCATGTCTGGTTAGAGAATAATGGTGACTCACAACTTGTTTGCAACTCTCAGTTGGCAGAAGAATAATAATTTTGAATAAATAATTTTAATCAACAGGTTTTACCTATATGTAATTAAAAATCCTAAGGAGGATTCACCTAATTCTGGGGAAGGTAGTTGTTGGCAATACACTTTCAGCATATTGTTATTCATTAGTTCTGAGAGAAACCATACTTTGGCCAATTGCAGCTCAAGAAAGTGCTAATGTTGGCTGTTCTGCAAATGCAGACTGAATTAATGCTGGAGTATCCTTCAGGAAAAATTCCTTATCCAGCAATTGCAAATGCTGCCTATTCTGCTAAGACAGAGCAAAGTCAGACTTAATCATCACGAGAGTTTGACAATATATGAAAATGGAGAGAAAATGTTTAGAGCCCTAAATCAAAGTGTATTATCTCAGATGGCTTCACAGGCCCTGTATTTGGCAAAGTAAACAAGAAAGAAAAAACAAAAAGGGGATAGTCTTCTAGAGTAGGGCTGTGCAATTAATCGTATTTTAATCGCGATTACGATTATGGCTTGCGACGATTATGAAAACAGCATAATTGACAGAATACGATTATTTTGCTGGGTGCGCTTTCGCCCCTCCCTAAAAGCCCACTCGGCCACGTGGGAGTGACATGTGTTGTGAGTGTTCAGCGCGAGCGAAGATGTCAGAACAAGAGCAGCAACTCGTTAAAAAGAAGGGTAAAACTATTTCCACTATTTGCAAGTACTTTGCCATTACATTCCACATCGCTAAAGATATGTGCCCAGTTAGCACTGTTAGCAACCAGGGCTTTAAGCAACTTGTCAACACGTTGGACAAGCGTTACGCGATGCCGTCTCGGTATTATTTCAGCAGGTCTGCGCTGCCTGCACTATATGACAAATGCCGTGGGGAAGTTGAGAGAGATGTGGCTTCAGCTGACTACTTTGCGACCACAACGGACCTATGGTCTAGCCCAGGGGTGCCCAACCAGTCGATCGCAAGATGTGTCTAAAAATAGAACAACAATATTCTGTTTTATCGTTAATGTCCTGTAACATAATCTTCCTGTGCCAGAATAATGCACTTGAACGCATCAAAGCTTTGTGATTGGCCGGCGTCACCCCATGTGTCAGGGCGTGGCTGAGGGTCTTCAGTACAGGTGGCAATATTGTCACCTGCCTGCGCTCATCTCTGAAACCAGACCATGTAAACAGGCTGGTGTTTCTTGCAAAAAATCTTTAAGAGATGACATGAGCAGTCCTACCAGCATTTGCCATGGTGGCCTAAACATTTTTATTTGGTCTTAAATTGTAGTTCAATATTTATTTCCTGTTACTTCTGGACCATGACGGTTGGCCAGCCTTCAACGTTTAACTGAGTGGAATATGTGGAATATGTTTTACCAAAATGTTGGCTATATGTTAAGGAGTTTTCAGTAGGTTGTGACAGTGCACTGCAACATATTGGATTTAATTTATTTTGGTCTAATTTATTTGTATTTATCATATTAATAATATATGTTTAGTATGGTTTTGGAAGTGTGCTCCAACATATTTGTTGATCTTGTTTATTGGTAAAATATTATTTGTTTTAAAGTTCAATAAATGGTCAATGAATAATCGTCAAAATAATCGTGATATCAATTATTGACCCAAATAATCGTGATTATGATTTTTGCCATAATCGCACAGCCCTATTCTAGAGTATCATTGTTGTACTTTGAAATGAATGACTAGTACTCCTACAGGTTACTGCATAAAGTGTCTATGCCTGTGGTTTCCTGGGGAGAGGGGCTGAGTCATTGTTTCTGCTCAGAGTTTGATTTAGCGCCATGATGCCATCGGCACGGGATTCGCAGAATGTGTCATAATGAGTGATCCCGGTTGAGCTGGTTTGCATAAAATAAAACCAGTTTCCAACAGTGCAGTTATCTGTAATGCTACATGAGACATTCCTAGATGTTACAAGCCACAGTTGTATTTTTAGCAGAAATAATGTATTACTTATTAAATTATGAAGTGTCAGCACTCACTGAAGGAGATGCGCTTGAAATGCTACTTCTAAATGTGTACTAGGGCTGCACGATATATCGTGTCGTGACGATAATCGTGATATGCGCATATGTGCGATATTCACATCGCGTGGAAGTGCGATTTTTTTTTTTAGGACTTGCGATATTAAGTAGGCAAATTAACTCAAACACGTCATGTTACAATTATTTTGCTGCTTGCTACAAAAGGAAAACTTGCGCGGCTCTCATGTCAGGGGTACTTGAGTGAGTGACATGCAGGCTCTGCATGCACAGCAAACCACCAATCAAATCTCCAAAGCAAACGGACCCGGTGATTAAAGGTAAAAACACTGAATAAAGTAGTTTCATGTGATTCTCCAGGGCAGTTCGGCGCTGCTAACCGAGCTTGCTCAGCTTGTTGCTCTGATAACTTAAGATCCAGACGTCCGTGACTAAAATCACAATGTCAGTTTTTTTCGATATCGTGCAGCCCTAATGTGTACGGTGTGACAGATGCTTTGTGCTGCATCTCTTTTAAAAATCTAACAACTATCAAGGTTTTATTTCCAGTTTCGTTTCTTTGTGCACCTACCCTACTTTCACGCTAGGAGTTGCATTCTTCGCTACAATATTTAGCAGTATTGTGGTGATAACTATGCGTTTTGCAGTGCAAGGTTAAATCACTTTATGTTACTGATAAATATTATTTAGGTTAATGTCTTCCTGTCTCTTTCTGTGCCAGGAAACTCAACGCCTGATTGCAGAGCCTGTCCCAGGCATCCGGGCCGAGCCAGATGAAGGCAACGCCCGCTACTTTCATGTGGTCATCTGTGGACCTCAGGACTCACCTTTTGAGGGGGGCGTTTTTAAACTGGAGCTCTTTTTACCAGAAGAATATCCCATGGCAGCTCCTAAAGTACGCTTCATGACCAAAATATATCACCCCAATGTTGACAAGTTGGGGAGAATCTGTCTAGACATTTTGAAAGGTAAGTCAACACTCTGTGATGTAACAGTTTATGCTTGGCTAGCTGTGTGTGGTTTACATTGTGCATAAAGGGCAGGTTTTCAACTGACAGAAAGTGTTTATTTTCCCCTGTTCTTTCTGTTGAGTCAGGCTTGTTACTGTAGAAACAGCGCTGTACGTTCTCTGTCCTCTGATGTTCCCCTGTGAATGAAGTGAGGGATTTGCCAATTTTATCTTGCTCAAAAGATCAAGGGCCTCTTATGTTACACTTGTGACCCCTGACTGAAGCTTTTCGCCAATACTACTGCACCGTCTCTTCACTCCTGCAGCTTTCAAAAAAAGATCATCCCTCTGCTTTTCCTGGCCTCAATTAGACTTTTATTAATCCCTGTTATTTTATTTTTCAGATAAATGGTCACCGGCTCTGCAGATTCGCACAGTGCTGCTATCAATCCAGGCATTACTAAGTGCACCCAACCCTGATGATCCCCTCGCAAATGACGTTGCAGAGAAGTGGAAGTCCAATGAAGTTGAAGCCATAGAAACAGGTGAGGGCTCTCATCTGGCTATGTTCAACAAAGGGTTTTAAATACATTGTTCTAACATTGAGTAATGAACCATATTTGTTACCTGAGGTCATTGCTGGTTATTTCAGTAATGGCAACCATAAATTCTAAAATTGAATTTGCAAGCAGGAATGAGGCAACCTGGTTGATCTCCCCCAATGTATTGTTTACAAATATATAATTACATTTTGTGATCATTTTGTTTAATTTGGAGGGATGAGGGATTTTGTAAATGTGTCTTAATGCAGGCTTTGAACAAACCACTTTGGTAAAATGAACGTCATTCATATTGTTTTTGTTTTCTTACTCTTTCCAGCCAAGTCATGGACCAGACTTTATGCTGGAAGCAGAAACGAGGTGTAGAGCAGCCCTACAAGTGGAAATCAAGTGTGAACACAACTCCTCATGTTCTGCCTCCTCCTACTTCAATTACATTTAAAGGACACAGTCTTAAATATATATAAACATATATATATATATTATAAAATAAACGTGAATATATTGTAAAGGAAAAAAACTCCTGCTGACAATTGGTGATTTAAATGCATACTAGTAATGAAATTACTCGTCTTTGTCCGTACTTACTACTGTTCAAATGCATGAGCTGAGATCTACTCACCTGGCTTTCTTTGTCCATTGACTTTAGAAAGCTTTCGCCAACTGCTGCTCTGACAAGCATGTTGAGGGGGGGAAAGGGTGTATGTGTGGGGGGTGGGTTTTGGGGGCCCTGGAGTAGTGGAATGGGCGGAGATTGACTAGATGTGGTTAACATTGTATAATCTTAACATTTATTTTAACTTTATTTCCTTGTGTTGCTGCTTTTTTTCCAAGCAGCTAACTAGCCCACTGTATGTTGACCCTCAGCTGGAGGCCATCCAGAGTTGTGTGCTGTGTAGATGGCCCAACTGGACACATAATCTATCGTTTGCCGTGCTTCTTCACATTTGGCTGCATTGGAAACAAAATGTTATGACTAAAACCCAAACTGAGCCTGCTACTGTCACATTAACTGTTTCAACCACTCTCAATGTAAACTGTAGGCTTGTTGATGGCGAGGGAGAGTGAGGAGGGCGGAGAGGACATTGTGGATCTTTCCTTAGTTTTAGCACATATGTTTTATTACCATATCAAGTCTTTTATATGTGAATCTTTCTTACTATTGCCATACTAAGTACTCTGCTTTCTCTCTGTATGCCCTCTCAGTTTAATGCTGTAAGACTCAGTGGTTTACTTTGCATTTATTTCACAAAGCGGCGGTTACATTTGAGCTGTTAGTTGTTTGATGACCTGGTGGTGGACAGGGTGTGGTTGGTGGGTGAGGAGATGCTGGGCTATTACGGGATCAAACTCCAAAACATCATGAAGGCTTTCACTCAATTGTTTTGACTGTTTTTTGGCCTTAAAAGTCTGTATTTAATTTTACTGTTTGTAAATTCATTCTTTCTATCAATCTGGGAAGGAAGTGTTTTCCTGCTCTCAGAATGCTATGAAACAGTCCATCTGTATACCTTTTATTTTCTGTAAATAAAATCTGTTGATTAATAAATGGTTGCCTGGGTGAAGTTGTTTATGGTGCACAATCATGTCCTTTATTTTACACTTTTATTACTTTTTACTGTAGGCCTACGTGGATTCTGTGTCCTCACTTATTCCCATCATAGTTCAACTCAACTTGAGATCTTATCATCCTCAATACGTGAAAACACATTTTGGGGTCTGTTTGAAAAATGAGAGTACAAAAATAGTTAAATAAATGTAGTATACTAGAATTAGAATTTTCTTCATAAATATTGTAAAATAGGATAATAAAAGCAGCAAAACTATAATTTATTACATCACTTGATTTATATTGTAAATTCCAATCACTATAGTTTAGTTTAGACTACATGGGAGGCTCTGAAAAAGGGAAATATGTCACTATAGTTGATTTACTACTGAAAAAGATTTAATACTATTCGGAACAGTTTAGGCTGCTTATTTGATCTTGTAAAGTGCTCATTACAGTAAAAAAAAAAAGTATGTTTCTCAATGACCAAAGGCACACTTGGGTTGATGAATTAAAATGCCCTTATTTAACATTGATTAAATTATGCCTTTTTTCGATTATTACTGATTGACATCATTTTTATTTTCTGTGTTTTTAAACTACTGGTAATTATAACTATTAAGCTATTTATAGTATTTCATTAAATTAATTGGAAGTTGTTTAAACTCAGCTTGCTACCTGTCTTTTTTAAATCTATTTATTTAAACATGATTCTGTCCTCACCATCAAGTAGGGGAGACCAGGGACAGTTGTAACACTTGTTGGGGTTTCCCCAATAAGTAAAAAAACATTTACATGAAAATACTATACAGTATGACGTTAAAAAAAAAAAAAAGTTTAAAAGGGGAGTGATTTGTAAAATATCCATAAAGAAATAGTAAATCTGTTTACAGTTCTGTTTCAAATGGGTGTTGAGAGATGTATCCAGATCTCTTCATTTTGCTCTCAAAGTGCACCAGATTCAGATTGATGCTTTTAACTTCACTATTTAACAAAAACAATCTTCCCGGGGGAGCATGCCCCCGGTCCACACACCACCTATAAAAATAGCACTTTACCCCTGCTTACACCTATATGCTGTGAGCTGATTATCGAGCCTTCATTGTAACAGTCGCGGGTACACTGTGTATTTGCGTGGGGATTGTTGCAGTCAATTCAACTGTAGCGACCGGTACATTAATGGGAAACCCTGAATGTGTGAGCTCCTCAAACGTCACGCTACCCCACAGCACCCCCAAAAGAAATCTTTGGCGCCGCCACTGAGCCTGCAACCCCGTTTTGAAGAAATGCGCAGTGCAAAACAGGCTCATTGCAGACACTAATGCTGTGATAAGACACTTTTTTTTAAAGGAAGGCTCACGTTCATATTGATGTATTTTAATAAATGTTAACTTGGCCCATTACGTGACTGTTTGTGTTGTTGGTGCCCGACTTTTTTTTTTCTCCAAAGGGGGTGCCTGACAGAAAAAAAGTTTGAGAACCACTGCTCTAGCTTGTTTGTGATTGGACATATTTAAGGCGTTACAACTGTCCCGTGTTACAACTGTCCCTGGTCTCCTTCAAATTAATATTTTATTGTGCAGAGTTGTGAGCTGTCTGGATGTGATGACGCATTTTAATTATCAATTTTAAAAGCAGTTTTTGCACATGCCAACCAGTGGCGCCTCCAGAAATTGTTCATAGGAGTGGCCAAATGGGGCCACTGAAAATCTTGGGGTGGCCCACCAAAACCAAGAATGTAATTGTTGTAAAAGTATAGACTAGATGAAAACAATGGCAAAGAGAATCACCTACTGATATACTTTGGTTTCTTATTTTACATTTTCTGATACTATTCATCTGAAGTGAATATAATACGGATAGTTAACATTTGACTTCAAACAACATTTAAAAGAACCTTGTTTTGTGTTATGTATACATGTGTTGGTGATTTATTGTTTTGTTTTTTATATAGTTGTTCTTTCCTTTTAAAAAGACAAATACAGCTTAATTTAAACAAGTTCCTTTATTGTAAGGCACAAAATGTTCAGCATTCTCAACACATACAATACACAACAGCAACACAACATGTTCTTCAGTTATATTATGTCTCTAGGTTATAAATTGTTTTAGACTGAACAAAGCTGTTTGTGTCACACTGGGATCAAAGATGATTGACATTACTTTATTGAATCAAGTTTTAAAACATGACTATTTTATTTCAACAGGACCCAAAAACTCAAGGGGTATAAAATGGTAAATACATACTGTGATTGAACACAAAAACACCATCTATTATTGACCTTTATAGCAAATTCCAAACATTATAAATGATACAAAACACCACCTTTTAGTATTAGACAGAAAATAGGTGACGAGACATATTTCTATTTTTTTTAGATGAGGCCACTGTGGTGAGAGTAATACATATAGCTTGTATTCCATTTGTTTTGTATATTTATATTTATACTTTATAAACAAACTGGTTACCCTTTTTTTAAATTAGCATACAAAACATTATGAAAACAAACTTGACTAATGGCCATGGCCCCCCTGGTCCCCCCTGCTAGCGCCACTGATGCCAACCAAAGACGTTTTTGTGCACTTTATTTCCTTTCTCCCTCCCAGTGGAGTATTATTATTTCCCCAGTGAGTGAGAACTAAGACGAACCATTTTGAAACACGGCTGACTACCAGAGGTACACATTTGTATACACATTAGTATCAGTGTCCCAATGTTATGAGTGGCTTTGGTTACAGTCTTCAAGAAGAAAACACATCCAGCTACTCAGACACCGTCACTTTTAAACATCTCTGAACATTTTCACTCTTGAACACATCATGGGGTCTGAGGAAAGTCCACCTCCACTAGAGGGAGACCCTGAGCTTTGTATAGGCCTCTGCACAGCCGTATGTTACAGGCTTTGCTACAGCAACATGCTGCTGTAAATACCCATTGAGTGTCACCAGCAGGCTTCTCACTCAGCTGAACATCGTTTTCTTGATTTGACCTTAAAACTGCAAGGGACGGCCTTATGCTTGCTTCAGTTACAGTGAGAAGTTGGCTCATCAGAATCAAAATAGTAGTAGTAGTTTAGTTGCCAATGTATGAGTTTAGGCATTTCAAATAATAATGAAAATGCAAGATTATGGTTTATTTATTAATTAATTTAAGTGTATATTTTTGGGTCTGTGTGTCTATTTACTTTTGGTTCTGTACATTTCAATGTGAAAATGATTGAGCCACTACCATTCTACTTCTTTAAAATATTTTTAATTTCTGTAAATACAACAGAATATAAAAAATTTCAGATAATTAAAAAGGGATGATTGATGTTAAAATATAGGATGGAGGATAATTGGATGTATGTTTGTAACAAACGGTTACTATGTCCTGCTATGTATATCTCACAAAAAGGCTCTAAAATTATCTTTAAAGCTTCTCAGTTAAGGGTGAAGATTTTATGAGCGGCACTTGAAAGCAGCATTTTTAAAGCCATCACTTGTGTTTCTGATGATTACTGTTAGCAGTACTGAAACACACCGTGGAGCTGGCAGCTGTATGCAGACACTTGATCTATGTTTGGCTTATCAATCCTGCTGTTAATGATGAACATGAAAGTGGTTGTAATTTGGGGCTGACAGGCAGCTCTCAGATCAGTAGCAGCTCACCTCTCCCAGCTCAGATGGGAGAGAGTCTGTTGAATCATGCGTGTTGACAGCGGCGATAAACCACCATGGTAGGTACAATATACGAGCAGAAGCTGTCTGACATTGCCCAGGAATGAATGGACCGAGTGCACACTTTGTAACCGGGACTGTCTGTGAAGAAGCTTAAAGTTGGGATTATTTCGGGAGATACACTCTTGCCCTCCCTCTCTCCCTCGGAAAGCCACTTTCTCCAGCGTCTGGTTGAATCCAGATTTTCGCTTTACAAACATTTTTTCCGGACACTCGACGATTGGGAACATAAATGATGAAGTTGAAGCCCAACCAGACCAGGACGTACGACGGCGAAGGGTTCAAAAAGAGAGCGGCGTGTGTGTGTTTTAAAAACGAAAAAGAGGAAGAGGTGAGAGGGGTGTTTGTCCACGGCTGGAGTTAGTGGTTAAACGTTATACTACTAAGCTTTATTGTTGACAATGTTCCTTTTTTACCAAACTCTGCCTGGTTATCGTTAAGTAGTTTTAAAGTGTACGCCATAGTGCAGGCCGATTTTCAGTTGAATGTTGTGTGCGTGAGTCTGCTCACGTGTTTTTAATTAGTGAAACTAACCTGGCTAAAATCCAAAATACTTGACATATAAAACAACAAGGGGTCTCATACTGCATTTACTGTAACCAGCACACAGCAGGAGCCCCATCATTTTTTATTTCCTGTCCAGGAGGAAATCCAGATAGCCTAACTCATAATTCATAAAGACATCCCCTCTGTGTCCTGCCACTGCACACTGTGCTGGCTCAAGTATTGACATTGACAGCCTTGCACCCTCAATAATGTCTGTGGTTACATATCTCTTCAACCGCTGATGCATTTTATAGATCTAAAATTGGATGTGATTATGAACTATCGTGTCATTTTGGTATGTAACGCTCCTAAGCCATTACATACCATCTGTCTTTTTAAAATATTGCATACATTCATGCACATTGGTGTTGTTGTCTACTGTACCTTGCACTAGCATCAGCTGATGTGGTTATTGTACAGGATAATTTCCATATCAACACATGTTTTTGTGATCACTAATCCTTTTGCTGAGGCATCCTGCCACACCTCCACTCTGTTGCTGCTGCCTTTATAGTATCCCATGTGCAATTGACTTAAACTGTAGTAAGTTCACAATGCAGTTCTGCAACCTTAGCCTGATTTATTCTTATGAAGAATAAATAAGGCTAAGGTTGCATGTTTTCAAAATTCAATATTTGTATCGGTCACACATACAGTGCACAATTCTAGCATAGAAAAATGGTAAATACCCAAATAAACAAAGAAAAACAATGCCAGAATGAGCATATCATATAAAG